TAGATAACATGTTTTAAACACACGGTCATGTTGAAGATGCGAATAATTAATCACAAAAATAGTCAGCCATCTTTAGGTGTCACTTGCAGGTGTTTACATGTTAAATGTGTCCCGTGGTTTTACGTGTATAATTTTCTACTGCGTACTAAGCAGTACCTGAACAAGAATTTTATTCAAAACATTTTGTCTGAACCCGAGCCGACATATCTGGTCCGATGGGTCCTGTCAAGTTTGGGTAGTTGAAAGGCAGTGCTAACCTTACGTGATAGTGAATGTGACCAACTTTAACCTTTTACTTTGTCGTGGTTTTTATGCTACTTAATATAATGTTGCTGTAACTACATATTACGTACGCTAAGGTGCATCCTCTGTATCTTCTCTTCTTACTTGACGCTTGCTTGTCATTGATAACCATGTCAGAGCACATCGTGTCCCTCCATACACAGATGCACTCTACCCATGTAAACAGTAATCAATACCTCCACGACTCTGTGCGAGTTTTCCCTGAAGGTATCACTAACCTACTGGCCTCTTTTTACACATATTGCATTGCAGCCACATTGTCACCAATATATAGATTCTTCATGGTGTTGGAAATGGCTCATCCTGTACATGTCTGAGCTGCAGGAGTCCTGATGTGAAAGCCTGAACAAACGTTGCTGTAAAGAAGATTTTTCCTTCATTTAGAGACGATATATGTTGTTGTGACATGGTCTAAAATAGCAGGAGAGAATATTACCCAGACGTTTGCAGTGCTACTCGTTCTTTCTGTGTTGGGCTGTCTGCTCTGAATGGTTTAAATGGATCAAGGGCAAGAATTCAAATGAGGAAGTTCATACAAAGCTAGTGCTGGTGCTCTTTGTTTGGCAGTTAGCCCTCATGTTTTTATTACAGGAAGTCATACCTTGATGGAGCGTGAACAATTGTTTCTGCTTCACACACCTTCTGTTGGTATGAGTGTAAATGTGTGCGTTATTGTGTGGTATTGTTACTATTGTGTTTGTGTATAAAAGGCAAGATATACAATCGGGAAATGTGGATTGCCTCCTGATAAAGTGTATTGTTGTTCAACTAACCTGAAATGTGTCAGTCAAAACAAAAGACTTAATTTGATGATGTCTTGAAACAGCGTGGGATCATGCGAGTTGTCGTCTTTACCACTGCCTGAACTACGTGATGCAACTCGGGCGCAAGTCATGTCGAGTCAATGGTTGAGGTAATAAAAAACCATGATCCATTACGGGTGACCAATAGAAACAATAGAAGGAAAAAACGTCAGACTGGCTAACTGGCCAACTCTTGGGGATTTCTCCAGGTTTTAACATTGTTGGAAACATTTTGGAAAATGCATGAACACAAGTCAACAAAACATGTAACATAGGTCTAGTGGTTTTTAGACCTTTAAATTATGAGTGGTTGCACATTATATCTTTAAATGAATATCTCGCCTTTGTAATTCTCTTCCTGTGCGTGCTGAACGTCCCTCTTTACTTCATGTCCTGTCCTTTCCTCATATCAAAATGATCTCCTACATTTTCTCAGTCTGACGTTGTTAGACTTAGATATTAATGGTCTCAGGCCTCGAGATATATAGCAGTGGAAATGATTCTGCAGATTTCAGGTTGATTCAGTCAGTCTCACTCTCCCTGATTGTTCACTCACTCTGCCTCTGACCCCTTCTTCTCGCTGCCTCTGCTGCCTACGCTGTCACGTTGTGCAGTCCATGTCCGCATGTTGTCAGATCTTATTGGCTCTGTTACTGTAACAGATGTCAACTTCAACTGTGCAGTGCTCCTCCAAACGTAGTCCTGTATAATAAAAGAGGATAATTATGGGATCTAAGGCGTAACATTTTAAATGTATCTGTAGTTATCAATTATACCAGAAGTTATACATCTGCCCCGTAGCCTCATCAGGTCTGTGCCATGATTCAGACTGGAGTTATGGAAATTATCAAGTGCAGGAATTCTCTAAGCTGGAGAATCAACTGTGAACATGTATTGAATACTCTGGGCTGGTTGAAGGAAACATTGGCTCCATCCACCGTCCACACTACTCTGGAGCTATCGGGCACCGTAAACGGAGAAGTTTGGAAACGCTGCTGTCCCAGTTTTAGTTTGAAAACTGCACTGCTGCATCTGGACAGGCAAAATCTGAGACGTTGATTTTCAATCTGAAACTATCACACACATTCACTTCCTGATTGTTTTTTATCTGTCCTGACTCGACCCCAGGAGTGAATGTAAAATGTTGGAAACATGTTACTGTCAGTTCTACCTCTCGTCAGTTGTTTTCTGCAACCAAGCAACCAAATCTGCTTTCTGTTTACACCAGCATGTACGTGGCCAGAGTACGAGAAGTGTGCGATATACGTTTCAGATGCATTAGTATGGATGGGATTATTACTGATGCAGAGCTAAAACACTCGATTGAACGTAGAGACCATTTCAGTTTTAAAACGCTATTTTAAAACAAAAATGTATTTGTGGGGATGTAGCCGAAGTCCAGCAGCCACTTTTTACTTGGTGAAGCTCAATTACTTGAGGTCACTTTGACTTTTTCAAAGAGAAAGCTTCAACCGGCATCACCACAGGCCAATAGAACAGGCAAGTTTAGAACACAAAGAAGAACTGCTGCCCCTAATCTGAAATTCAATTTGCTACACAGACACAATCAAAGTTAATATGTGACATAGAAGAAGTACATAAAAGCATGTTTAGAGAACAAGTGAATCTGTGCATGTGTCTCATATGTGCAGATTTCTGGCAGCAGCACAGTTGTCCTGAGCATCCACTGTGCTCAGGCCAAACAAGCATCTCTACCAACCCACTGAAGAGCGACCCTGCCCTCGTTTATTTCTCGTAAGCTTCTCCTGCTCTCTTCGCTTTCCCTCTCTAGCTCTGCCCATCTCTCCCCCCACCCTCTTCCTCTTGATCATTCGTCTTGCTGCATTGCGAACCCCAGCAGCTGGTGGAGAATCCCCACAGAGCTGCTTCGACCAAACTCTGCAACATATACAATTTGTTAGGTTTGGGTTTTATTTAACACAGTGTGGATGCACTTGATGATGTATGTGAAGGTGTGTTGATCTCAGTCCTGTGTCCAACCCTCTGTGAGGAGTATGATGCAGATTTTTCAGCTATCATCTCCACCTTGCCCCTACCTATTTACCCATCATGCAAAGTAGTATAAACAAAGTCATCCCCTTTCAGAATAACATTAACATAACCGTGTTAACGCTCTGTGACAGGGCCTTGGTCCGCAGCTATGTGTTGCCTTCTTGAATGAGGCAGGTAGACATGAATAGAATTGTAAATGTCCTCTATGAAAAGGGGGAAAGGGGCCAGCCCTCTAACAAACTGCACATAAACAAACAGCCACAGGCCATTGGTTGAGCCACTGCCAGCATCTCTGAGAAGTGAAGGAGAAAGAAAAGCAAGAGGGAGAGAGAGAGAGTGGAGATTATATGAAGGGTGCATTCCTTTCCACATAATTAGGTTTTATTTGGCTCCCTTAGCTTGGATCAAATCTCTCTCCTCCTCTTCATCATTCTCACCCCCTCTCTCTTTCTCATCACTTCATGAGACTCCTTGCAACAAGCACAGGGACTCGAGCATCCGTGGCTCTCTGATACTAGCAGCATGTGAGGCAAATGATGCAGAAAAACAGTATATCTGTAGAAATAGGGGCTGTGACACATGTGAAACTGCATTTATTTGGCAGTTCTTAACCATGTGTAAGGAATATTCCATGTAAGATTTAGAATAGCTGAATGAAATGAAACTTCAGAGAATATGAATGCAGATCCGAGAAGGATAACAGATGACATTTAGGCTCAAAACATGTTGTAAATGCGGTTTCAAGTCGAATATGAATGTCGGGGCTTCCAGACACTTGGATGCAGTATGGAGGCATGTTTTTTATCTGTTCTTTTATTAGGTTGAAAAAATGATCACCAGTTACTTCAATTGTATTGGATTTGGCTGGAACACTGTTGAACCCTGAGACTGCAAGTGTTTTGAGGCACCAGTGGTATAGTGGTCACTGGTCAGGAGATAATGAGTGAATTCAAACTATCCTTTTAAGATCTATGAATTATTAAATCTGTATTATTAATAATCTGTGAAAATGGAAAAAAACTCTCAGTGTTAACGAAAGTGGAAAAAAAATTGAATGTGCCCTGTGTGGAACCGTGACAAACTTTAATGGGTTTGTTTCCTGGCCCTTGGCCCATCTCCACCCAGTTTCGTGGAAATCCGTGTGGGAGCTTCTGGGTAATCTTTCCAAATAGCCAAACAAACAGAGAGGGGCGAAAACGTAACCTCCTTGGTGGAGGTAAAAAGGCTGCGGCTAAAGTTAGATTCGTTATTGGTACATTTATTTATTAGTTTCTAAATAGATCCACACAATGTCAGAAACAGCACTGTCATTAAAAACTGTTTTTTCCTTTTCTCAAAGGTGCCAGGGCAGTTTCAAGTGCTTTGCTTTTTAACTATTGACAGTTTTAGCAAAGAAAAACACCTCATGCAGATTTCTGCTCTCCTTATCACTCCTTCCTCTCTTTTCTCTCTCTTCTTCTTTATTGTGACTAACCACTGTTTTCTTCTTCTTTTTGACCCGTCTTGTGGAATCTGCTGCATCACTGAAGACAAACAGTTTCAGTTTGAGAGGCAACAATCACCTCCCTCCTCCCCTCTCCTCTCCTCTCTCTCTCTCTCTCTCTCTCCATAGCCCACACAGCCTCTGGCCCTCGTCCACTCATCACCAGCAGACACAGGCAGGCGGGGCTCCATATGCAAATATAGCCTGAGTGGGCGGTGAAGCCTGTGCAGCAATGTGAGGACTCTTAGCGAGCCCCGCCCACAGAAGCCAGTTGCCAGGCAACCGCCGGCAAAGGGTGAGCAAGGGGAGGCAAGGGAGAGGGAGGGGGGAGGCGGTGCCATGAATTCAACAACTGTTGCCTGATCTGAGCTCTCCCCTCTCAGTGTGTGAACCAGAGGCAGCCGGCGAAGCAGAGCAGAGAGGCACAGAGTGTGAGGGTGCAGAGTCTGTGCTGGTGTGTGTGTGTTTGTGTGTTTGTGCACGTGTATGCATGTATGTGTGTGTGTGTGAAACAGAAAGAGAGAGAGAGAGAGAGAGAGAGAGAGGGAGAGAGGCATTGCAGGTGAAGCCAGGCAGTGTTTTAAAGTGGATGATACATTAAACTCCTCTCTTCCTCTCGCTGGACTATTTCACCAACAAGGACTCACCCTTTGGACTATCCGGACGCTTCCTCTTCCTCTTGGGAACACCTGTGTGTGTGTGTGTGAATGTGAGTGTGTGTGTGAGTGTGTGTGTGTACAAGGGAGACACAGACTTGGCCCTGCTGAGGGTCCGTGGCTGGGGGAGAAGTAGGGACTGCTGCTGACCATGGACTCCCCTCACTAGTAAACGGGGTAAGGAACCAGACTGCAGCCTGCCTGCTGAGAGGGGGGGGGGGTCATGGCACATTATTTGACAGACAGACACAGTCTATATGTTGGGGCATGGGGCTGACTATTTAATCATGAGAGGGGGGGCAGGTTCAGTGCATTGTCCTTTGACTGTGTGAATGTGTGCTGTTGCACACAGTGGACCCAGCCTCACTGCTTGCATGACTGCCTTGCTCTTCTGCTCGCTTCTATGTCATCACTGTCCTGTGTCGCTCTCTTTTCATCTATATTTGCTTCAGGTGTACCCTCCCATCATTTCCTCTTCTTCTCCTCCGTCTCTCCTTGTTCACTTTCTGTTACGGTTCAGTGTCTCTCTGAGGGTAATGCGATTAACTGGGAAAACCAGGGTATAACTGGAAGGAGAGAGAAAGATAAAAAAGAAGTGTGCTGTCACAGTAAGGTAGATATAGATTACCAATGCAGGTACTGATGGAATGAAAAGAAAAAGAAATGGGAGAAATATTAGTTTTGCTTGAGGTTTCAATATCTAAATGTATGATTCTGTTGATTTTGACCCATATTTAGTTCCATGTTGAAAATGATGCAGGAGGAGGAATATTATTGGTGTTTACTGATCAACATAGAAGAAATCCTAGAACTTTATATTATATTGGATTTTTGTCTTTTTAAAATAGACCTTACTATATTTTAGATTGTAAAATGATCTGTAAAGTGATAAAACACCCACAATAGTTAAGTAAAGGATAAATAAATAATACATGCTGTTAATACGTGCTGTTTTAACCGTTTGATCGTGACAAGTCAGTTGATGATATCAGCCTGTTGACAACAGAATTGTTGTGTGCACTTTTTACCTTCTAAGATTAATTCGTTAGTCCAATAAAACAAAAGGCAAGTTTTATTTGTATTGTGGGATCCCAGCAGCAACATGTGACGTCAGACTCTCTGGTGTTTTGAATACTCCTGGTCTGTGACTGGACGTTACATAATGAGATTAACTCTTCTCCTGCTGAGCTGATATTCTCTCCTGAATGCCCCACACCCAAAACATTTCTAGAAGACTTTTGTTTTCCACTACAATTATTATTTATCATTTATTACATTAGATTAGATTAGACTCAACCTTGTCATTATTACACACGAAATTGCAGAGGGAGCAAGCGGGTTACAGAGACAACAACATGCACTTTGGAACATTATTGTCATATAATTTTACATTGTTTCTTTCTACACTTATTTGATTTAGTTTCCTCAAACAAAACTGACATTCAGCCAAGTGTCTTTGACAGGGTACAGTCAGTACACCAGGACTAGAATAACTAGATTAACATGCGGCACTGAGCTGCACTGGATGAATGGAGGATAATCTGCAGCAGTGACAACAGTCACTCCTTCTATTGACACATTGAGAAGAATAATTTCTAAAGAAGACCAACAATATCTTAACACAAAAACATTGACATCTTCTGCGTCACTGAGTTTCGTATTGTATTCTAGTTGTTATGAAACCAAACATCTATTCAAGCCATTTTAAATTCTCATTTTGCTTTTAGAAAATGTTCTAATGGGTTAAACAGACATTTAAACAACAACATTCACATGCAACAGACGACAAGAGGCGAAGGCTTGACCACCTGCTGAGGGTTGGCCACCAACGACTCACTGAAGGGCCCTCATTCAATAGGCAGCAGCAACAGGCTCAACAAACAGTCGCTCAAGAGGAAGACAATGCACTTTGCACAATGCACGAGGTTCTTTCTTTTCAGTGGACATGACGCTTCTTGATACAGAAAGGACAGTGGTTGTAGAAGCAACACACTTTGGCTGTGAGGTGACAAGCAGTAAATGAAACAAAAAAAATTTCGACTACAAATGTGTCTGACTGTTGTGCAACACTTCCCCCTCCAGTGTCGCTTGTAGGACTAAAAACAAAACAAATGTGTGAATGCTGACTTCCTCTCTCTGGTGCGAAGCAGCCGGGTGTGTAGTTCAAACATACAAGCAAGTGTCAAGCACTTGAGAGTTCAGAGCAGGTGGTTGACAGCTCAAGGGCTACCTTATAAAACTTACACCCAGGTCGACTTGATGTAACAAATCCTCGTAATTACTCTTCAATATGACACTGATGCTGTTGTAGTTTGTGTTTTTCAAGGCCTGGCAGCACATACACACAGTGAGCAGAGGTCAAGTCCAGTCAAGTCAAATGTATTGCTTATAGAGCAACAAAGGGCTTTAGAGAGAGAGAGAGAGAGATCAAAATAAAGGGCACAAATGTACTCAAGATAAACAAATATTTGAGTTAAATTAAATACTAAAGTAATTTGATTGAAATGCAAAAATAAAAAGCTGCTAACAATTATCCAGCTCTCCCAGCAACCGTAACCATTATGGACTTAACCTAACTGTACACATGAGGCTACAGCTGGGATATGAAAGAGCAGCAGATGGGGAAGATCTGACACAGAAGCCATCATAGTGCCAAAATCTTGACAATGCAAAATGCTGTGAAGACTGAAATAGGACATTTTAGTCCAGTAAAGAAATACGGATGTCTACATAATGTGAGTAATGTTGGAATACTCCACATGTGTTAATTTGATTATTGCTCATTCTGAGTATGACCTTATTCAGGTGAGGACAATCAGTAAATGCTGTTAACATGGCAGCGTCTTCTTCAGACTATTGACAGTCGGCAGATATGACCATCACTGTGCATGCAGCTTTGTAATCTACTTACTAACTACTACTGCACCTCACGCATTAACTTGATTCATACACAAAAGCAAATCTACAAGGACACTTGCATCGCTCATAATCAAGGGATGTATTTCAAGGTGTTATTCAACGGAAATACTGTGTGTACACACACCCACACACACACACCAATGTTGGTTTAATATGCTTTCACTGCCTGGTATTAACCCTTTATACTTAAATAAAATACATTCTTGATAAAGTCAGGACTATTCGAAATAATAGAAAAATAATTGAAACTTAAAAACTACTGTAGGTCTTGTTGTGAGCTTTTATTTCTTTTTGTGGATTCAGAAACACAGTCACTTACACTGTTTCACCACTTCTGGTTTCCTGTGTGTATCTGAGCTGGGTTTCATTGAAAATGTCTCCACACAGTGTCTCTGCTGTGGCTCCAGTCCCCTCCCCACATTGTCCTTTGTCCAGTGCAACATTCCTGGTAATCCAAGCAGCTACCTGCTTCCCTTGAGACTGAGGTGGAGACAAATATATGTGTGTGTGATTTAGCACCGTGTAGACAGAGGGGTAGTGTTTTTATATGTGTGTGGTTGTGTGTCGAACTGATTAAAAAGCTGTAGTTTTGACTTAATGACGAATGAGCATTGAGGGCGAGAGATATATTTTGAAGTAAACACACTGGGGAGTCTCAGGTGTTTTTGTCAGGCGGTGTGTGTGTGTGTGTGTGTGTGTGTGTGTGTGTGTGTGCCTCATTTCCCCAAACCTAAGTTTCTCACAGTGTTGACTTAACAAAATGATAGTGAAATATGAGTCATTACTTCTCTTTGTGTAATGTGTGCATGCAGAGGGAGAGTTTGCTTTCCATGGGAGGTGATTAAAGACACAGGCAGATACATGCAGATGCACACGACTTGTTGATGTTATTGCTCCCCTGTCGATACAATCCATTTATGCATGAATATGATTATGACTCAACACAAAATGACTTTTAAATAGTACATGTCGGGATGAAAATAATGATTCCCTTCATTATTGATTAAACTACAGCTACCTCGGCCAGGGAGTTTATGTTTTCACTCCTGTCCATTGATTCCTTGGTTTGTAAATAAATAGGATTACTCAAAAACACCTGAACAGATTTACACAAAACTGTGGTGGAAGGATGTGACATGAAGGATGAATCTAATAACTTTTGGTCCTAATCCGGATCAGGGGGCAGATGCAGGAATGTTTTTATGGCTTCATCAAACAATGAGATATTTGGGTGTTTTGCAGCTTTTTCATTTTCCCTGGAAATATTTAATGGATCTTGATGAAAACAATCAGCTACATTCAGGGGAACTGATATCTATGAATGTGTGAAATTTGGTTCAGCTTGAATGAATTAAGGAGACTGCTGGGTCTCGGTGGAGGAATGTGCACTGTGCACTCTAGTTTGTTTGTTTGTCGGCAGGATTATGCAAAAACTACTGGATGGGTTTCTGGGAAACTTGACGGAAGGACACGCTCTATGCCCCTTAGTTTTATTATGTCTATGAAATGTCAAGAATATAATAGTTACAGTTCCACCATCAAATATATTGAATTGTATATTATGTACAGTAAGACCTAAAGCAGGGAATGTAAAAAACATCAAATAATAAAAACAAATAAACATTTTGTTTGAGAGATTACTGATTATTGAATAACTGAAGCTTTTGTTTTAAATTGGAATTAGTGTAATTTTTCCCATGGCCGTCTGACTCTTGTCGTTACCCACCGGTGACATCTGACAACAAGAGATATAACAGAATTCAAAATGCTGAATATGAAAGCAAGAGGATTAAACATTCCACTTTTTAGGTGAATATTTTTGCAGCGGCTGCACTTGAGGAGCTCAGAAAGAATAAAGAGAAACAGAGAGGATGAAATGAACAAAGAGAGAGAGAGAAGCAGGAAAAGCCTCTGCAGAGAAACGCCTTGTGTCACTGGAGCTCAGTCTGATAAACACAAGCAGAGAGACTCTGCTGCTCTCTGTTCTTTCTCTGCTGCCTTTCTCTCTCTCTCTCTCTCTCTCTCTCTCTCTCTCTCTCCTTCAATCCCTTTTTCTTGCTCTCTTCTTTTCAATTCCTCTTACGCTCCTCTGCTCGTCCTCCACTCCCTTTACTGCTGACTCACACTCTATCAAAGCTTTGTCAGTGTGGATCGATCCAGTCGATTTCACTTGATGTCTCGTTCAGTCCCACCCCTGCACTGGTGTATCTCTCCATCTCTGTTCTCTCTTTTTGAACAACACTTGTTTTGTTTAATTG